ACGCTTGTTTCTAGGTATTAAAAAACACAATTCCTCTCTAAAAAACCTGTGATTTAGACTGTTTGCATATTTTGATGAATTTGTCTAAACTATCATATGATTTGTTTGTAACTAATTCCAAGTGGCATGGATCCAAGCTATCCTCTCCTTTTATAAAAGGGCACCATCCATCTGTTTTTTCAACTCTTGCTTTGGCCAGGGATCATAACTCCACCTCTTTTTTTCTTTTTCTTTTTTTTTTTTCTTTTTTGCCCCTTGGATGGACAACGTGCTAAGATGAGCTCAACGACGGCACGCATTGCACCAGTTAACAGCATGGATGGATTCCAACTTTCTTGTGATGATGTTGATTTTTTTTTATATATATATTTTTAGTTTTTATTCTAATATATTGAAACAAATTAATATATAATTTTAATTGTTTTGTTACCACTTGTATGTCATACCTCAAAATTTTTCAAGTTTTAATTTTTATACCAATTGTTTTGTTACCACTTGTATATTAATTTTCGATAATTTAAATATTATTTCTTTATACTTAGGTGGTTCCATGATTGTCAAATACTATAATTCATACGATTTTACAAGTCAAAACATATAAAACATTTAAAATCAGGATTAAAACTTGAAAACTCATAGTTTTAAAACCCGGCCTGGCCCGACGGGTTGACCCAGGACCCGTCCGACCCGGGGCTGGAACCGGGCCGGGTTGATGAAAAAATAAGATGAGCCACGACCCGGCATGACCCGGCCAACCCGGCGGGTTGACCCGGAAACCCGGACGACCCGGCAAAACCCGGTCAAAAACCCGGTTGCAACCCGTTGACTTTTGTTTTTTTTTTTGCTAAAACGACGTCATTTTGAATTTTTTTTAAAATAGAAATTGACCAGGCCACCCCGGTCAAAACCTGGTGACCCGGTCAAAACCCGGAACCCGAGCCTTGAACCAGGCCGGCTACCGGGCCAGGTTTAAAAACTATGTGAAAACCAGTATAATCGATCAAACTCAGTCAAAACTCGCATAAGATCAAGCGAACTCGTAAAAAACAGTAAATGCGTATTGATATCACGATGATTCTAAAGCATGTGGGAGTTATTTCTCGTAAAAAAGACAGCTGCAAAAATCTTTCAAAATGGATTTTATTGGCCCACCATGTTCAAGGACTCACATGCATTCTGCAAAGCTTGTGAAAATTATCAAAAGTTAGGATTTGTTTCAAAACACAAAGAATCTTTAGAAAATCTTTTATTGACTTTTGAGACATATCCTGATAGAGATATGCATTGTGCATTTCATGATTTATGGATCCATTTTCATAAAGAACATGATTGACTTAGTCTTGGGAATCTGACTAAAAAAGACCCTGTTTGCCAGTTTTTAAGAAAACTGGATAGGAAGCTTATCCCCGACCCATAGAGGGCGTTTAAGCTGTTCTTGAATGTAAAACTAAGGGAAGATGTGAGGCACAATCACAACTACCTGTACATACACATGTTTTTTCAAAAATAAATAAATAAATAAATAAAGAGAGAGTGTGTATGAGACTCTAGCTAACCTACATATAGGTGGTGTGATTGCATTTTCAAGTTCTCATCTATAAAATCTTATCTTCCTTCTCTTTATTTCTACTCATCCCATACATTTAATAGATATAGAAAAGTGTAAAAATGGCAAGTTCCTCAAGTCATCACATAAGAAATATTTGTGTTTTCGGTGGATTCAGTCCTGAGAAAGAAAATGAGTTTTTAGAATCAGCAGATCATCTTGGTTAGGTCCTAGTTGAGAGAAAGATTCATTTAGTGTATAGAGGTGGCAGCCTTGGGTTAATAGAGGGAGTATTAATAGCTGCATTTTTAGGAGGTAGTCAAGTTATAGAGGTTGTCCCAAAAGCTTTAGCACAAAGGGACATCATTGGAAAAACAATTTGAGAGGAACTACAGGTCTCCATAATGTCTGCTCGAATGAATATAATGTTTAACCATGTTGATGCCTTTACTACCTTACTAAGTGGTCTAGGCACTTTGAAAAAGATCTTTCATATTTCCTCTTGGGTCGAACTATATATTCACCATAAACCCACAAGTCTGTTAAATGTTAATGGTTATTATGATAAGTTGTTGTCTTTTCTTGATCATGCTGTGGAACAGGAATTTCTAACATCTTCTGCACGACAAATCATAATCTCTGCTACTAATACTGAACAATTGATTGACCAACTACAATCTTTCATTCCTGTAATTGATCCTTCCATGAGTCGCATAAATTGGTCATCTAAGGAAAGCCGTAAAAAGCTTAGATTGGATTTGAGCCTTCATTTGTGAATGTTTATGTCTTTTGGTTTTCCCCTGAGTCTATGGATGCACTATCTACGTATTAGTATCTGCAACCCTAAAGTCAACTGACTTGAGAGCTCTTGACCCAATGCTTGTTACATGGGTTGAGGAGAAAAGCTTAAGGAAATCAAACATTGCACTATCTACATATCAGTATCTGCGAC